AAGACAGATGCTCTTAAGAAGACCTGTATTGCAAGGTTACCACGTAAAACTGCTTTACTATATGGTCTCTAAATCTGAGCAACGGTTCAGTGTTGGTGACGCCTTCGATGACGTCGAATTCTTCGAAACGCCGGAGCAAAAAATGTTCCACCACTGAAAAACTTGTTTGGCACAGAAGAATTGTTCAGTAATAGATCAAATGCCCAGGTTTCAGGAAGTCGAACATGAAGGACATCATGTGAAATTTTGATGAAAACTTTGAAATTTGGCCTTAGAGGTTAGTTCGAAAAATAAGGTCTCATCCCCAGAGAGCAGTTCACATCAAGAGCTCGGCCACATGCTAGCAGCATAGTGAATGCACCCGTCCTAATTTATCAAAAAATGTCAGAGCCATGTCCTTATCACCCTTACAGTGCTATACAGGGCTTATGTTCTCTTCTTTTGTGTGTATATCCCAGTCAGGTTTGGTGTCCACAGTCAAGAGAGCTCATTGATAACAACGAGAAAGTGGAAAACGCATATACAAAATAGTTTGCTGTGAGTGTCTCCACATGCAGGTGATCTGTGTAGGTGGCCGCAAAGGATACGCCCTAGAGTTTGAAGAGTCTTTCGAGCAGACGTCTATTTGCTGACTCAGATTTTGCTTTGAGGACACTCAGAGATGCATTTTATCCTGCTCCTTTTGAATTCTGGCAATTCGAGCCCTTATCTCCTAAGGACCATACTTCAAGGTTGTGTTTCCACATCTAATNTGACGCAGTTGATTCTTTCATATCTGGTCTAATAAATTCTCTTTGAATTTGTGAATTTGAATTGAACAGAGAAAGTCTCACGCTTGAAGCGAGCATTTTTATAAACAGATTCTTTCTATTTGCCTGGTAATCTGATTTCTAGTGTTCCAGCTTCTGAACATTCAGCACTGCATTGAGCGTGCTAGCTGGGTACAGCATCATACATCCGAAATATACTCCACAGTGCATAACTGCTGGTTGCCTATATTTTCAACTACCGCTTCTGTCTCGACAATATCAGAAGCTTCTTCAGATAGATGAGTATGTAGAACATAACGTTATAGGAAAGGGCTTCGCCGAAGTCAGTCTGAAGCTGTCGGATGTGTTTTGAAAAACGGGATAAATATTAGTTAGCCAGGAACTACAAGTCACATGCTGCCAATCTCATGGGTCGGCATCATGATTTTAGGTAGTTATCGAGATTCTCATCATGAAATATGTTTGTCGGTACTAGTTCTCTGGCGAAGAGAAAACCAAAAAGCCAAGAAAATCTAGAAAAGAAACAATTTCAACAATTGTTCTCCAGAATTTGAAAACGTGGACGCTAAATTTTCGTCAACAATGATGAACGAGCATCCAGGATCATTGTGGAGTTAGCTAAGAAGACAATGAACAGGGAATAGTGAATCTAACAGTGAACATTGGGATTAGGCCTAGTTTACCTTTCCGACACTGCGATCCTTCCTGCTTCGACATACTGCTCGGAGACTTGGACACTACGAAAGCAGAATGAGCATCAAGGGCAATACTGGCAGAAGCAAAACGTTGGGAAGGATGCAAAACTAGGCATTCATCGAGGGTCAACTCGAACAAACGCTGGAAGAAGTGCCTCCATAAAACATAAAACGATATTACAATGTAAAAGGAAGCCTTCACCGTTGTTACCTTCATCTTACGTAAGCCTTTCCTTTGCTTACTTTTTGCTACAACATCAGATAGGTTTTCTAGATACAAGTCTTGCTCATATTACTAGTGCGATTACGGTGTTAAAATTCTTCAGCCGTTTGAGATTTTTCGGTGGAACACTTTGTCAACTTAACGGCCTAACGTTTCGAAGTAATTGTCATCTTTAGAGGCCTGTAGGCGATCCGAGATTTTCTAGTGCTATTACTTTCTTTTTGGCTCCTTTTCCTCAATCTCTTTAGTTGTTTTGGAATTTAAATAATGTAAACCACTTTTATGATAATTTTTATAGGAACAGCGTTGCATATTAACATATGTACATAGTATGCAATCAAAAGATATATATATATATATATGCATGGCACCATTTCAAATCATATCGGTAGTGGCCGACGAGAAGGCTTATGACATCGTGTTCACGATTGTCTGATTCTCTTCACATGTCCCTGTTTGTGAAGGGCTTTTTCGGGACGGGTTCATCGACGTACAATAGGCCTCACATGTCCGTTGCGTTGTACAGAACTCGTGTATTCACCAATGGCTTCAGTCCTTCGTCGCGTGCCAACGATGTGTCACTTCTCTCATAATCTCTTCCATTTTTATGAGTGGTGCTCAATTGGTATCCCTTTGTATGATCGGTGACCAAAATCTACAAAGATAGCAGATCAGTGAAAAGACCTAATTCATTTCGATTGAACACTTGTGAGCTGATGCTCGATGAGGGTCTAATCTACTCTATGCCGTGCAGGAAATTGACAATTCAGCCTCCTGGAAAAGTTGCAAGAGGCATGAAAATGCTTAAAATTGCTCTACATCGACTCCGCACATGGTAGCCAACACAGAGCAATTTCTACATGGAAAATGTGGTCTGTTTTTTCGAAAACATCGATTTCATATTCGTAAGGTTCCATTTGAGGGCGGCTGGCTGATCACAGGAATACTGAAGAAAAGTTTGGAGCAGCAAAAAAGTTGTACCTTGTGCTTGTGCTTCTCTACATAGCCGGGGCACAATATTCGTTTCCATGCAATCACTGCGGTTTTCCGGAAATTCGCACTGAAATCGTCTGTTGAATGAAAAATATTCAGACAAAGCATAAGTAGTTACTTACCTGGAAAACGCGTAAACAACTACGTCTATCGCTGTATTTATATAATACATGTAATGAGCCGTATTGTATATAATCTGAAAGAAGAGAAGTTACAATCTGTACGTTTCACCTCCAGATTTAGGAATAGACCACATCATGAACTGCATACTATATCAATTTTTTTTCTGCCCATTTTTTACTTTGTTAAAGTCTTATAATTTTTCCAAACGTCGACTTTCGCGCTTATCACCGCTTATCCAAAAAATATCATGAAGATTGCATCTCTGGATACATACAATAAATTAGTAATAATAACAATAATTACTAATTATCAATAATAAAATAATGATAATAATAAAGAAATAATAAATTTAACTTTGAATTAATATTTAATAATAAGTAAAAATTCTTTTAGTTCCAAAAAACATACATTTGAAGTCAATCGAAGTAACATGAAGGTCCCTCCCCTCTCGTTATAAAATTTCTCGAGATTTCTTTCTTTTCTTATATTGCAAACCCTTTTTCAGAGGCGTGTCATGAATGGTTGCACCTTTGCTGAGTTAATAAGAAAAAAACAAACAATTAGGGAAACTAAAACGGCACCAAAAAGAAGTTTCTGTCTGAATTTTGAAGTAGTTAGTTGCTTCTATGCCACAAAATCCTAAAAATATTGCGCAAAACCACCCACCACGAAGATATGAGATCGATGTGTAAATGCAGGTGGTGAATGGTAGACCACTTGCCAGAAGACTTCTATCATCATAATCACATAGAAAGGTGTGGTTAAAAGGACAAATACCAATGGCATCACCCATAGTATACGAGTCAGCGATCCCGAATGCGCTGTTTGGCCTAAAATTAGAAGTTTCAAGAAGTAATCGAATTTTTGAAAAATACAAGTTGTTCTGCTGAGATTTGGATCTCCTCTATTCCACCACACCAGAGGGTTTTGAGATAAATTAAAAAGTTCTGAAATCGGGAAAATTCTGGGGCTGCCTGATACCATACATACAGTGGCGCTCAAAAGTCTTCGGTGAAATGCTTTGACGCTTTTCCGTTCATAACTTTTTTCTTAGTAGACCGAATGACACGAAATTTGGATATGTCTAACTAGAGCATATTTCACCCTACACTACACTATTTGACTGGAAAGCTGCAAAATCCGCAGGTAGAGCAAGGTGTTGGTTGCGGTAGCAGATTTTGCTAAAAGCAAAGTTGTTGACGTCTGCACTTATTCGCACCTTATGTGCGTTTTTCTCATCTATTATGATCGGCGTTACCGCTCGTACACCTTAGACATGACAAAAAGGAAAGAGATTCCAGAATGGCCATCATTTGCATTTTCAGTCGATTTTGATTTCATGCTTTTTGGAATAACTGGAACATGATCAGACTGCAGGTTAATAGTGGTAAATATTCACAATACATCCACGCTCCGAACATAGAAATTTTGCTTGATTAGATCCAGTAGGAAAGAAGTTACGACTGAAAAGTACGGCAGAAGAACCATTTCACCGAAGACTTTTGAGCGCTACTGTAGGTGAAAATTCTTTGGCGACACTCGTTTGCATATTATATAGATGGTGTGACCCTTCTGAAAGAAGCTAATTTTTCCGATTCATCGACTCAATCAGGTCATCCGAAAATATACAACATGAACTCCTCTCTTTCCTGTATTAGTCAACCTATGTACCGGAGACGGTGCAGATGAAATTTCTAATCACCATCCTCAACATCATACACTGTTTCCCTCCACTGCCCAGCATTTATCGACGTAGTAGATATGGATCGAATTTACTTCAAGTGGTCGAACCCCTTACTCTACTAATATTGAATTCTAGAATTCGAACGCATGAGGGCATCTTAAAAAAGAGTAGATGACTTTGAAGTGAACTCCCGTCGTGGAGCAGTCGACAATGTGGTGACTGGCTCTCGAAGAGCATATTATCACGCGATACTCATTTGCGGTCTTAATGGTGAACAATGTGAAACCCTGTCAGAGAGCAAAATAAAAGTCAGGGAAGAAGCTATGCTTACCGCCTTGTCGCCGTGAATTTCGACCCTTGCTCGTATCGACAAACGTCGAGCGCTTGATCTTTATAGCAACCAGAAGGTTCAGAATAACGATCGTCAGGCATGGCAAAAGATAACAGAGAATTGTATCAAGAGCTTGAGCGATTATCTGAAAATAGTATAATAGAATGATCGACAAAATCTGTCGAAAGAAGAAAGCAAGCTTGAAATTAATGGTGACAAATTTCTGATGTTATCACTGAGAAGGTTATGAACTGGAAGAGAATATTGCGAACACAAAATTTTTCTTCTAAGTGAGCCAGCCTTTAGTAGCATTTGAAGGCAAAGTTCTCGATAGATTTAGGGCACTTAGTTTTGAACGAGAAAGTGAAACGATAGACCAGACCAGTGCTTACGCGGGAAAGAAGGCGTGAAAATGGGCTTGTTCAGTGGAAAATTATGCCTTCAAAAGTAGTTAAATTAGGGGTTGGACGAGAATGTGTCCACAAAAGTTGCATGGAAGGGGCTTTTGGAAGATCTGCCGAAGAATGTGTGTCACTGCGTACAGCTGGCTACAGTAAGCTGCTTGCGTGCAACTTGTGCGTCCCTGTGCGAATGTTACAACCTCAACAGCCTCTGCATGTCGTGAGAACTCGGCCGCCTCTGGAGTGTGTACATTCGAGAGCCTTTATTACGCTTTATCCGGACCGATTTTTGACATGACTATCCTTCATGCTAACTTTTGAAGTCACACGTTCATGTCGGGGAAAAATCTTAGAAATCATTTTTATAGAGAACCTTGCCTTTAAGTGGACATGGATGAATGAATAGTTGATAGAAAGCTTTGGAAAAAATATTCACTATCTTCAAACTGTAGTCCAATTCTATGTAGGGGAAACTTTCAGCCGGCTGTTCGTTCCCGAAGTTAGATATAGGTTTCAAAAAAATGAGAATAAAATATTAAATTTTCAACCTGATAATTAGCCTCTTTTAGTGCACACTTTCTGTCATCACCATCAACAGGTTTCAATGAAACAAATTGAAACAGCTGCAGTACAAATGGTATAGGTACCCAGTAGGCTACCATTCGTGTCCTATCTACGTGACCATACTGAAATCATCATTATTTATTGCCCAAAGAATAAAAACGTTCCAGCTGAGCTCGAAACCATGTATAGCTTGTATACTAACCATGACATGTTTCAGTGGATGAGCAATAGCTAGGTATCGTTCGATAGTGAGTGCTGCCGTTGACCAGCTACTTATGTACGATGCTGTCATCAGAACATATTCTAATCCAACGCAATACTCGTATGCAATAAAGTCGACCTGGAAAGATGTATAGTAGAGTATTCGAGGTAATTCTCTTACTTTTGTAAGACAGGAAGTATGTTTGTCAAAAGAGCATGTTGGAGCAATAATCGCGGTATCTTACCTTGAAACAAATAAGTAAAATACCCAACAGAAACACGCTATCAGCACTGGTTAGCAGTATAAGATAGACGTTTGCGTTCACCTGAAAAATAATTTGAGTGAGGACGGGAAATCTAGTTATCAGTCAATTCCAATGTGATTGTTTGGAGTCAGTTAATCAAAAGTGAATAGAGAAAAATGATCAGAATAATCGTGAGAACTCATCTGTCAAAAAAAGCTTTACTTTTCCGCATTGGCAGAATGCCAAACATAAATCACCTGTCAGGGAACAAGGAGTCAAATGTGTCTCTAGAGCCTGTGTTCGAGGCTTCAAGAGCACAATAGTTCTAGATTTCATAAGCACTACAGAGATATTGTATCCAAAGCCAAATTCAGAATTAACAACACTTCCAGACCCCATGCTCTGACGCTTTGCGGACTTTTATTAGGGCTTATATGATTTATTTTAATCCAGTTTTCAAAGCTGGCACTACAGCTTGCAGTTCGTTCGAAAAAAAGGATATGCTCTCGAGATTGTGGAGTGATTAAAAATGGATATGTTAAATTGAGCAGCAAATGAGTCAACTGTTCAAGCCCATCTTGACCTTACTACTCTCCTCCTATCGCTTCAGGTCGGTAGGGTTCACTTTATGGTATGCCTGATTTTTTGATTTTTCATTCATTGTTAAATCTTATCAACCCTAGATCATGCTGAATGTAAAAAACTGAAGAAAAGCCAAATAATGAATCTAGGCTCCTTAGATATTCGATGAGCATCCATAACCCATCAGCAGGTCTCTAGTCATGAGCCTTCAACAAAAGCATGGTTATTTGTGTGTTCAGGGAGAGGATGGAAAGTTTTTTTTTCAGAGTACTACTTAAAATATGTAGGTTGATGGTATAGAGACAGCTTTTCATTCGTAAAATGCACCACTTTTTACTAAAAGTAGTATATAAGTATATGTATACTCTGCTGGTGGCATATCCCATTTCTGAAACAATCATATAACCATGTACAATGAGATTCCACCTGAAGAAATCTTTGGAAAAGGTTCCTATGTCTATCGTCAAGTCAAGAAAGAGAGGGAAAGAGGTCCTTCCAACGGAAAGAGTGTTGCAATGTGTTCTGGCCCATATAGTTCCATTCAAAGCAACTGTAACACCCCTGAACGTGCTGTCGCCCAATTTTCGACGCTTAGATTGTGAGACTACTGAAGAAGCATGATGGAAATGAGATGAGACCAAACTTCCAGCGTAAATACAGGATCACGGTGCAAAAAAAGGCGCATGTGCCGGATTTCTTATTAGAAGGCTCACGAGTTTGTTGATCTCTTGCGATGAGCAGTGTCTATTTTACTGCCATACGTCTTTATCCTCTTTTTTTTGCTACTGGGGGCTTTGCTTTGTCTTGGTTCTCCCTTTCTCGGATGAGAAACAGAAGTTTTCTAGTGGTTTCCCTCGCTCTAGCAATAGAGGATCAATAAAGGATTGATGTCGACAATAATTAATTCTTTCTGAAATAGTCATATACGCGACTATCACTCACAGAGACCGCCCGAGGATCGCTTTTTACGCCTATAGGTACATGAATTCTCATTTAAGACAAGATTAGATAGCGTAAAAACTGAAACAATTGAACATTATTTTCAGAGTCCCTTCCCCTTTTATTACCAAAACTAGTTTTGGACATGGGTGGCATACCGAATAAGTACATAGATGAACTGAGTTGAGGTTCCTGCCAAATTTCCCGATCACATGATTTTTTACGTAAAACTATGCACCAAAAGTATAGGAATGAAATATGTCTAGGTCATTACCATCGAGAGAAATAACTTGCAAGTCAAATGTCTCATTTTTTGAGTTTCTTGTGAGACCAGGTCTACAATTTCTTCCACCCTTTCACGGGACAGGGCTTGA